ATGAATGGCTATTCTGGATGTACTAAAGATTAGCACATCTCCATCCTGAGTCATTTGCTGCAATAAAAAATAAGTCATATGAGTATAAAACAAATAAAAGTTATCCTACAGTCATGGTATGAAAATGTTTCTTTCCTGACCATGCTGTTGTACTTTCAGGTTAAACTTTTTCCATTAGAATGACAAAATAAGTCTATAGAATAATAGGAAATTCGAACAAGATATTTATTACGAAATAATTCAGAGTTCTTTGAGTAAGTGAATGCATGAGAAGGAAATAGACTGGACACAATTATTCAGTGAACGATCTTTATTATTTGTAAACACAAACACATTGTGTGTATTTGTTTGATACAACAGACTGTCACTTTGACTGAATCAAAACTACTATCTCTCCAAACTGCCTTGGCTTAGATCTTATTACAGATTGACTAAACTATATAGTACTTAGTTACATGGTAACATAAGACCTATTAAGAGCTACTAGCGCTATCGGCGTGACTAGTCATTCCCATTTAAACTTAAGATAGGTTGTACTTTCGAGGTATCACCTAACGACCATGTGTTATGTGAAAAGTGCATTTGAAAAATTATATCTTTAAACAAGGAAGCCGAAAATGCATGGCATGCCTGTATACCACAATTTAAACAGTATTTGTTCATCTTGGAAAACTTAACACTAGATAAAACTTTGTTTTGCATTAAATGTATTAGCAATCCTTGAAGTGGGGTAGGATTCCATCCCACATTTTTCAGGAGAGCCTTTTGCTACCTTTTAGTAGTGTTTGCTTCTCAGAAAGGTTTGGTTTGTTTCAAATTTCGCACAAAGCTACACGAGGGTTATCTGCGCTAGTCGTCCCTAATACAGCAGCAAAAGACTAGAGGGAAGGCAGCTAGTAATCACCACCCACCGCCAACTTTTGGGCTACTCTTTTACCAACGAATAGTGAGATTGACCATGACTTTATAATGCCCCATGGCTGAAAGGGTGAGCATGTTTAGTGGGATGGGAATTCGAATCCGTGACCCTCAGATTGCGAGTCAAACATTCTAACCACCTGGACATGTTCTCAGAAGGGAACGGTTCAATAGACGATGCAATAAATATTAATGGTGGCAAGGTACTGGAGAGAGAAACCATATTTGTTTCTTAAAATGTCGTGTAAAAGCAAGGCAGGAATAACACAAAGTAATACATGATAGAGCAAATTAATCCTCTTACTACGGGTTTGGTCGTGTGACCAGAGTTTGTAACCACAAAAATATACTTCCAGTGCATCTGAAGTCTCCAGTTTAGGATTGTGCCAACAATTTGAGATCAATTCAAGCACATGAGCTCAATGAATTCCTCAGCAAGTTTGCTGATCTGTTGGATGGATAAAATAGCAGATTAGGTTGCAGAATAATCACACATCATCACATTCACATGTTACACATATTCAACAAAAATAACTCACACAGGCTTCCTTGGAGCACCATGGTTACAGCCATTGCTGATACTAAATGAATTTTAAAAGATGAACTTTCAGAGATAGAAGAATGGGATGGCAAGCATTAGATGGGTAAGTGCTCCCATTGGTTCAGCATGCTAAAGATGGCTTCTAAATATTGTCAAGCCCATTTGGCACAACGAAAGTGGACTTAAGAATACTTTCAGCACTCGAGGACTGTGTGAATTCTATGTCATGCTATTAGGTTTTTGTAATGCCTCACAACTTTTAAGTGGTTGATGGAACTTACATTAAGAGGACTGAAGTAGGAAAGTGTCTAATCTATATGGATGGCATACTTGTCTTTGGTCACACATTTCATTTTATAGCTGAGGACACTAGAATGGTATTTTTGTACATACACAAATGCAGGCTTGAAATTGAAACCAGGAAATTTTGTGTACATGCATGCAGGTGTGTCCACTGATCATGAAAAGATCACATCAGACAAGGTTTGGCCCCTACCTCCTAATAAACGAGAATTTTGCAGCTTTCTGGGTTTCATTGGGCTCAACTTCTCTCAGATAACTACACTACTCCAGAATGACTGTATGAATTTTACATCATATCATTCAGTCTGTGTAATGCCCTACATCTTTTGAGTAGGTAAGATATTTAGTGGTGGTGTAGACATTGTACCATGAGGCTGATCAGAAGAAAAACCTAGCTACATCTGGGAAAACTTCATCAAAGTTGTAGATTTGCTTCTTGAGTGAATCATCTTAGATAGAGTTGGTGCTTCAGCCAACATTGAAAAAAGTAATCAGTATGTGCTACTCATTATCGATTTCTTCACCAAATGGGTTGAAGCTTATCCATTGGTTGACATGTCAGTGCAATCCATTCCAGATTTGTTGGCTGAACAAAATGATGGTTTGACAGAAAGTGTGGTAAAGAATGTAAAGCATTATTAAATATACACAACTGTTTTAATTTAAGTATGACACAAGTGTTAAATTTAGTTATTTCTAAAAGTGATAGTTTAAAGCAGGTTTGTTTCATGTAACTGTAGGAATCATACATTGTATACTTCAATTGTCATAAATTGGCGATTGTTGTATTTGTTTTTCTAGTATTATTACATCATAATATCTCATAGTGTGTGGAAAGTGCTGGGCCTTAGTTGGGCTATTTATATATATATGCACCCAAAATGTAGTTCAAGTAAGACAAAGTTAGTGAGAGATATAGTCAAACAGATCTAGACTGTGTGTTTGTAAGTTTAGCCATAAAGAGAGTAAACTGTTTTTTAAGTGAAATTATGACAGATTGTATTGTAACAATAGAGTACAGAAGAATAATTTGTCTTGTCAATTGTGTTCTAGCAAGTTCACTCTGATGATCAAAGTACAGTGTTGTATCACCTCTTTTCAGCTAATGAGGAAAAACACATTGATAGTACATGTCTAGCTGTTTGTGAAAAGTCAGATTCAGATTAGTTAATGTCAGTGAAGGAGCAGTCATTATGATCTTATGATTAGCTGAAAACTAACAATAACCTCCTAATAATTATAGCTGGGTTAAAATAATTGACCAGTAGTTAGGATGGTAAGTTGAGTGAAAAACCAATGGCTGAAAAACAATTGTTGCTCTTTTCTTTCAAATTGTCAAGTGGTGTTTTACATTAAAATGTACTTCATATTGTTACGTCTGTGGTCGTTTGTTAATTTTCCGTATAATTTATTTCCGATGAAACTTCAGCGACACAAGTCCTTTCTTAAATAAAACTAGTTTATTCCCTATCAATACAACTTTGCAATACACTTAATCTCCACAGTCAGTTTAACTTAAACACACGCTATAATTCACAATGATTCATGCACTTTACTACCGCGCTTGACTCAATTGTCCATTTCTGTCTGTCTGCAATTATCTATATCTACCAATGCCGTCACTTCTGGACGGTCTTATATATACAAAATATAGGGCATCTTGAGCCTTCAGGAACCTTCTAGATACTCATTACGTGTTACCAGCGTCATGTGACTTCCACTGTCGTAACAATATGATAGCCACTTGATTATTGAGTAGTTAGGGCAGTCACTTGATTAAAAAATCAAGGGAAGTGGCATTATTTTATTTTTGAACTAACACATGTGTTTCATGATAGAATGTATGTGCAGTATATTATGTATGTGTGTGTATGGTTTGAGGAAGATAATAAGAAACTTCAGGCAGCTCCCACAATCCCCAGATCTCAATACAACTGAGCATCCTTGGGATGAACTTAAAAGAGGCATTCACCATCACAATCGACTATCTGCCTCACTCTATGAATTGCATACAATATTAATGAGAAAAATCCCTCAGGACAAATTCCGTCATCTTGTGGATCCTATGCTGTTATTCAGGTAAAAGGTAACCCAGTCATCCATTATTAAGTATTGGTCCTAATAAAGTGGCCAGCCAGCTAGTGTATATTAGGAAACTTTTAAATAAAATATTTATGGATATTGACTAACAACTCTATTAAACCAGTATGCTTAATATTTGCTTTCAGTCTTTTTCTAATAAACCTCCTTCCATACAAAAAAAAGCTGTTTATAAAAGCCAAGTCTATTCCATTGCCAAACTGTGTAAATTAACCTAGTCATTCATGAAATTTAGTTTATTTATTAAACAAGTGATATATTATTACAAACTTTGTAATTGATTAATATAGTTAATTTAATATACTGTTACGACAGCGGAAGTCACGTGATTCTAGTAACATGTAATGAGTTCTAGAAAGATCAGGGAACATCACAAATAATCTAGTATTTGCTAGGCTCCCTCTATTCTTGTATATAAGTGTGCCAGACAATTAATCGGAATTATATAGCAGACAGAGAGATTGAAGATATAGACGGACAATTGAGTTAAGCGTGGTAGTAAGTAAAGTGCGTGAATCGTTTGTTGTGAATTATAGCGTGTGTTTAAGTTAAACTGATTGTGGAAATTAAGTGTATTGCAAAGTTGTATTGAGAAAGAAGAAACTAGTTTTATTTAAGAAAGGACTTGTATCGCTGAAGTTTTTCGGAAGCAATTTTTACAGGAAATTAAAAAACGACCAGAGACGTAACAATACCATTCTTTTTTATAATGATTAGAATGCATTTATTCATCACTTGTGTAACCCTTGCTAGTAGTAATATTTTCAGTCATAAATCATAATCCTACTGGTATGTCATGAGTTTTGTCAGCTTAGGAAATTTCATAAGCCAACAATGCAAAATAATCCTCATAATATAGTATATATATAAAATTATATAATGAATATGAAAATTAATAAAAACAAACATATGTATATATATATATATATTAAATATTGAACCAATACTGTTAATGAAACTAATATAATTTATCAAACTAAAAATATTTCAATTAGTGATTTTTGTACCTTATATAGCCCAGCACTAAAAACTATTCTTTGTATTTTAAAATGAGTTCTGAACTTCACTTATGCTCTAAACTATGGTTTTAGTATGAATGTTACGTTAAAAAGAATATAAAAACAAAAATATATAGTTGTTGATGTTTTATTAAAAAAACTACAAAAGTTAGCAATTTTTCAAAAGTTTATAACACTCATTATTTAAACCAGAATTCCACCAAATCATACATAACTAAGAAATTTTGCTTTTAAAATATTTATCTGAAAAGTTTGACGTATCGTATTTTTTCAGAGTTTTCATCTGATTTACATCAGTAAGCTTTAGCTTTTCTTATTATAGCCATCTGTAACCAAATCAATGTCAGCCTTTATAGCACTTTCAGAATAGCAATTTTGTTGACTGCCTATACCGAGGGTAAGGTCTTGGTAGCACCACCTAAAAGAAGATATGTACTCAACATCAGAAACACTCCACTACAAGAGAACTAACAGGGCAGTAGATTATAAATGTATGACTCAATTCTACTTCACTTACAAAGAAATTGCCTACAGCGAATTCACCTTTCGCAAATAATCTTCTTTAACACCATCTTAAAATATTTTATGAGGGAAGAAGAAGAAACATTTCCTATTCCTATAGGAGTACTTGAACCCCTATAAGCCAAATGTTTGGATCATATGCAAATGCAACAATGTAATAAGCTAAGAAAAGTGATGACAAAGGCAGTATAGATGATGAATAAAGAATAAAGTGATGACAAATGCAGTACAGATGATGAATAAAGAATAAAGTGGTGACAAATGCAGTATAGATGATGAATGAAAAACAAAGTGATGACAAATGCAGTATAGATGATGAATAAAGAATAAAGTGGTGACAAATGTAGTAAAGATGATGAATGAAAAATAAAGTGATGACAAATGCAGTATAGATGATGAATAAAGAATAAAGTGATGACAAATGCAGTACAGATGATGAATAAAGTGATGACATATGCAGTATAGATGATGAATAAAGAATAAAGTGATAATTCAGTATTTTTACTCTTTAGCACATATGATCCCAAAATCATATGTATCACATATATACAATTGAGCAATTTTCTGTCTAATCCTATCCTAGAAGAATGAAAATTTTCTGTCAATTTTTTAATAAATAGCATTCAAACATTTGAAAACTATGTATTAGTGAACTATGAAATTTCACCCTCTAAGAAAAATTTCAAATGTGTATACATATATATATATATATATATATATATATAGTTATTTTTGGATAAACTGAAAATGAAATTTTCATAAATTGATGCAGTGCTCCTTACTCATAATTGCACACATTCAATGAAGTAATTGCAATGAATGGATCTTGCACAGTTAAAAATGTTACTTTAATCTGTCTGGAATCACATAAAACTTCTCAAAAATCCATGAAAAAACACTTTCTTACACATTTTATTCACTCAAGAGACAACATATTTAACAATACAAACTAAATTATATCTCACCTTATACAATAACTGAAGAACACACAAGAAAATGATATTGCTGGGTAGATTCTGAATGTAACTTTGAAAGTAAGGGAAAAAAACTAGAATATACAAGTTAACTCTTAACACTAATTGTCCCATCATTTGTGAATTCAATGATGCACTGCTACATAGAGCTTATAAAGGTCAACAGGTACTACTATAGTGAGCCAGCTGGTGTCCAGATGTCATAAGGAAGTGAGTTTATGGATCAATGAATATCAATATTTATTGGATGCTCAATAAGTGATGTGAATGCCCTAGACAGTACAACCTACATACTCATACACTGGGGTGAAATTCTCAAAAAAAAGAGAAAAAAAAAGTAAGGTACTCAGTTGAATGAAGTGGACATGTTTATTGAAAAAGACAAAAAAAATGTATGTGTAAACATAAAAAATCACGAAGCAGTTGAAATAAGTCCTGGTACTAGTATCAACTTAAAAAATAAGTTTGGTACTCAGTACTGGCAAAGTTGCACCCCTGCTCATACTCAAACTCAATGTAGAGATGTACTAAAAAAGTGGAAAAACCATGTATTGGTGATAAATATTAATCTGGCCATCAAAAATTTATCACTTCTCATCCATGTACATCTACACTGGAAAAATTATCATGCAGAGCAAAATATCCCATTTTTCACTGTTTGCTTAAGATGGATGGATCTTGGTTTGAAAACAACCTGGACAATTTTAGATATAACTGTGTGTTATTCTAATTGTATTCATGTATAGATCTATTTTTAACTATTTTGGACTTATGCTGGTTCTACTGACATTGTTAAGGAAGCTATGAATGTCTTGTCATATTGTGAAACTCCTGAAAATACTTCTGAGCCAGTGACTCTTAGAGTCTGTCTTGGTCAGTCCAAGACACAACCTTAAAGCAGATAAACTAATGGTCTGGATATTTTGTAATTCTGCCTGAGGAACCCTGTATTTTCAAATAATATTTTTCATGTCAGTAATAAAGGTTAACTTCTTATCACAGAACTGTAACATAACATAACGTTTAGGGACAACAAGGGATCTATTGGTTATACCAGGCTGTCCCATCCTCTAAAATAAACTAAAACTTTATGTAAAAAAAAAATAAATAGAAAAACCCCTCAAAGCCAACCCTTATCATTCAGATAGTTATCAATCTTTCTCTTAAACTGATTTAAATTTAGTACCTCCGCAACATCTGAAGGTAACTTGTTCCAAAGGTCAACCACTCTGCTCAAATTTATATTTGTGTTTCCTAGTCCTTCTATTCTCACCATTAAGTATGAAAAAAAAGATGATGTATCAACACTATAAAATCCCTTAACAATCTTAAACACCTCAATCATATCCCCTCTAACTCTTCTTTTTTCAAGAGAAAACAATTTCAGAGACATTTACCTCTCCTCATATAACAATACCCTCCATCTAAGGCACCATTCTAGTAGCCCTCCTCTGAACCCTTTCCAATAATTCAATGCCCTTCCTAAGGTAAGGAGCCCACGACTGAACACAATATTCCAAATGTGGCCTAACCAGTGATCTATACAATGAAATTATAACCTCTTTAGACTTGTATTCAATATTTCTGTAGATACAACCTAAAATCTTATTTGCCCTACCACTAGCAACAACACACTGCTTGGATGGCTTTAGAGACTGATCAACCACTACACCAAGTTCCCTTTCTTTCATTACACTGTTAAGGATATTCCCATTCAAATTATTCTTATAATTCAAATTATGATAATCCATGTGCATTATCTTGAATTTAATATAATTAAAACCCATATGAAATTTATTCACCCAACTCACTAAATGGTCTAAATCCTTTTCTAAAGCAGCACCATCTTTCTCACAGCCAGCAACATTCAAGAACTTAATATCATCAGCAAATTTAAGTAATTTATTGACAATTCCTTCATCTATGTCATTGATGTAAATCAAAAAGAGCAAAGGTTTTAGGACTGAGTCCTTAAGGTACCCCACTTGTGACATTAATCCAGTTTTATGTGGTACTTTATCAAATGTTTTCAGAAAATCCAGATACGCCAAATTTACAACCTTACCTTCATTTACATAAGCAGTAACCTTTAAAGAATGTCAAAAGATTAGTAAGGCAAGACTTTCCTTAGTGAAACCATGTTGACTATCAAATGAAATTCTAAATTTTGTTAAATGACTTTGCAAAGCATCTTTTATCAGATTTTCCATTATTTTTCCCACAATTGATGTAAGACTAATATGCCTATAATCATTGGGACAATCTTTATCACCTCCCTTGAAAAAGAGGATTAATTTTAGCCAATTTCGAATCCTCTAGTACCTGCCCACTAATCAAGGTCGTATAAAAAATACTAGCAATTGGCTCACATAATCCTTAACCTCCTATAAAACCCTTGGGAGAAATATTATCTGGCCCAGGAGACTTATGATTTTTTAAACTTCCATATTTTTTCTTAACAAGCTCAGAATTAATGTGATAATCTTTTTTGATCTTGTTTCCATCTATCAACTGTTCAAAATGAGGTATATTGTTTAAGTCTTCATTAATAAAAACTGTAGAAGAAGCAGAACTTAATAACCCAGCCAGCTCATAATCATCAGTTACAAGCCTTCCTTTATCATCTCTCAAAAAGTCCTACTCCCATCCTAACATTTTGTTTACTGTTAATGTATTTAAAGAAATCCTTTCTGTTAAACTTTACATTTTCAGTCAACCTTTTTTTCATACATCCATTTTTGATGTCCTAACTTCCTGTTTGACCAACTTTCTTGATATTCTATAATCTTATAAATCTCCCACAAAATTAGTGAATTTAAATTTCTTAAACTTGTGACATTTTTCTTTAATTTTATCCCTTGTACCCTTTGTAAGCCAATCTGTTTTTTTTCCTTGCAGCCACACTTTTTTTTTCTATAAGAAATATGTTTATTTGAATATCTTTAAAAATTCCCACATTTGATCAGTGTCTCCAAATAACTCAGCTGCCCAGTTCACAACAGACAGTTCTTGTTACATCCCTTGAAAATTTGCTTTTTTTAAATTTGTAATAAAAATATTATTTCTGATTTCTACATGCAGCAAAACATTGAACCTAATACAGCAATGATCGATTGCACCCAGATGTTCTGCATTTTCCACCTTCTCAACCACTTCAATATTAGAAGTTAACAATAAAACCAAAATAGCATTGTTTTTATTAGGTTCCTTGACCAACTGATGAAGAAAACCATCTTGAATAGTTTCCAAAACTCTTTCTCTCTTATGATTTGACTCTAGCATTTCCCAAACTATATGCCTGAAATTAAAATCAACCATAATTATGACCTCATTAACAGCTGAAATTTTAATCTTACTGTAAAGTTTATCATTGATTTCGTCAATATCACCAGGTGGTCTGTAAAAAAATTCCTGCTTAAAGCCTTTTCTTTTTTGTATCCACTAATAGAAACCCAATGGATTCAATCTCTTACTATTTATTATCTTTGATATCCATTAACAGAATGTAACTCAAATTTTACATATGTTTCCAGTTGTACAATCCAATAATGCACTAGGCATTACATTTGTTGGCACCAGCCATCTTAGCTTCATTATAATCAAGTGTATGTATTGTATGGTGACACATAACTTACTAGCTATGAAAGAAAGGTTCTTCACTTCTTTTCCTTCACTGGATGCTTGACCTAATGATCATTCTAGCTGCTACACAAATGGTGTCAAGTTACAAATCAGGAACCTGGAATACAAAAGTCATAACACCTTTTCTGTCTGTAACATTTTGACTCTTTGACCATCCTAGTTAGGATGATCAAGTTTAATCATGGCCATATTGGTCAGGTGGCCATTGGTAGTAGCTTGGCCAACTGTCAGAGTTGTCTCTCATCTCTAAATCCAGTGTATCATCATCTGGCTTATCCGGAACAAACAGACAAGTACTCTCACCTTTTCGTTCTTTATCTAAACGCTTGATCGAGTCAAGCATTGAACCATATAGATTTAGCATCAAGCATTTCACTGCCTGATGCTCATTAAGAAATTATTACAGACCTTCCTTGGCTGCATCCTTAAACATCAAGGGAAAAATCTGCTTAGCCTTATTTACAGGGACATGTAAGGGCATTATAAACCTTTCTCTCACAAACTCTCAGCCAACATTAGGCTGAGACATCTTAAACATTGTGGGTACAATGTAGTAGGGGCTCTTTGGGACCTCAATGCTCTGATGAATGGTAGGACACTGATTTAGGGTTGGCAGAATGACAAGGTGCTCTGTGCAGCTTGTCTGTCAGTTCTGCCCGACCTATATATAAGCTCCTCCATGGGTCATGCCCACAGTGGCAGTATATCTCTTGGAGCAGGGAGGCTTATCACTGCCATGACACACTTGCTCCATCATTTAGTGCCTGCCACCTCACATGTTGGTGAGATAACTAGTGTCATTTATCACTGGTATCTCCAATCTATCTGATGTTTTTGAGTGGCTTTGACCAGAGCTTGCATTGAATTACTCTGGATGATGTAAGTCTGGGAGTCCTGTACAGACCACCCCACCTTGTCTCAGCCTCACCAGATGCCACACCACCATGACAAACCTCAGTTCAATATTCCCTCACATGAAGGTTATTCTTCAGGATGGAGAACTCAGTCAGCCATTCTGGATGCACCAGATTCTAACAATTCTCCTTCCCGAGTCTATGTCAGGAATGAGAAAGAAGTCATGGACTTTCACAGCATTGGTGAAACTCCTATGTTTAGGAGAAAACTTCTCCTAGATCCAACAACTCTCATGTACGACCATCTTCCCTCAGCTGCCATCTGTAGTGATAGTTAATAATATCTTGCACATTCTGTCATGAAGATTTTCTTGGGCAGTGTGTGAAAGTCCATTGGTCAGTACTGTAGACTTAGAATGGCCACACTGAAAGTTTTTTGTTATTTTTGAATCATATTTTAACTTTTGTTATTAATACTTTTATTGTCTGACTATCCATCAGATCATGCTCTTGTTTTGGAGCATTATTAGAATTTTGGTTCAGTTTCAAATATTTGTTGTGCTTCTGTGAAGCAATGAGTCTTCTGCAGTCATCCTTTTCTCCATGTGCAACAAAAATATCATTACTGCATACATCATAGAAAGTAAAAGTCTCCTCTTTCTCTCATGTCTTCAATACAGACCATAACTGTGAGTACTCAGTTCTAAACTTCTGCAAATGAGGATGAGTCTTATCATCTCTATGATCACTGTAATTGGTAAGATTATAGCTAGGTTCTCATTCTGTTTCATTCACCATTTTTGAAATTTCTGAAGAAGCTCTTTAGAGAAATCTTTTCATTTTAGAGGATTCTGAATGAGGTATAGTCAAATCAGCATGAATATACAAAACTGAACCATGTGCTACAAAACTTAATACAGTATTTGTAATTATTTCTCTGCTAAGTAACCTAGTTAACTGATCAGAATATGTATTTCAAGAGATATATAATACCAATATAAGCAGAGCATGTGGCTGCAGACTGTCTAACATTACACACAAGTTTTTCAGTGCAGCACAGAATGAATTACAACACTCAATGAAACTAATGAAAGTGGTTCCTGTGATAATGCCATGCAGCAGTAATCTGAGAATGACAGGATTCTGTGCATAACTGCAGAAATCAATGGTACAAGAATGATTTTCGAAAATGTATAGCAAATTCTACAACTAAAGAAAACAATATATTTATTCACAATAATGCAATTTGCAAATCACCAACATACTGGACAACTTCTATATTTTATAAAATGACTGTAACTGGTTGCTTGCATGGAAAGAAATTTCCTAAAGCATCTGCATAGGACAAGTAAAGAAACTAGAATAATATGATACTAAACTTTCAAGTCAAACCGTGGTTCTAGTGCAGTATCCTATACCTCTTAGATAATTTATTTCAATTACTATTACAAATAATCATATTCAAGGGAGAAAACTTCCCAACTCATATTAACTTGCACAACTATCTCCGTCATCAATGAAATGGCTTTACTCACTTTATGGAGGTAGACACTGACACATTATAAACTGCTAGTATATACTTTCATTGCACAAACATTGTGACTTTACCTAAGGAAAAGGTTTAGTGCCTATTTATGACCTTCATATATTCACTTTACTAAAAAATACTTAGATAAACATACAGAACAACTGCAAGAAAATTTAGAAAAAATACCTGAAGATATCCAAATAAAGATATACTTTATACAAGTCATGGAAGAGTAAAATATGATGACATTAATATTATCATATACCAACATAATTTGCATCAAAAATTTGAAAAATGAAGTTGATATACTAAGTCTCTGTGTAAAGCTGATCTTATTTTAGATTATTTTAATAAGTTCACTTCACTCCATCACATAAGCAATAAACAAGCTCAAGTGAAAAACAAGTAATATATATATAATAATTCTGCAGTCTTTCTCATACTTATCTGCAAGTAGAGAGAGATTATAACTGCGGGTTTTACCAACTAAAGTTATGCTGCTGTAGAGATATATCCAGAAAAGAAATGTATATCAAAAACAATCTGTTTTCCTTCTTTCTGCATTAGTGATACAAGATGATGATAAACAAACCGTATGTCTATCTAAATGGAACTAGTTAATATCACTCTACATTTAGGTATATTAAACGATTTAAAGAATGTTATGAAGTATTGGTGGTAATGGTAAATTTTCCAGGTTTAAAGACATTGGCAGGTGTGATGCTGAAGATAATATTGCTCATTTGAAATATTATTAAAAACGTCTTCAGATTTTCCTTTACAGTTTATTCCATATTTTTTGTGTTCAATAGTCATTACCTAGAATAGAGGTATTTAAAGTTTTTAGATTGTTCAACTATACTTCAACTTCAGTATACTTGTGCCAACATCTTTAAACATATGAAGCATTCTAAAAGTAAACTACCAATTAAAAATAATCTATCAAATCAATCTACATATTTTCTAGAATATCAAATAATGAACAAAAGTACCCTTTCTTAAAAAGAAAACATATGATAAGATAATAAACAATTTACATATTATGGTGTTGAATGCAAACTGAAGCATGCAAAACGAATAGGCCTAATATTTCTAATAAAAATTATGCTAAACCTAGAGGTTTTTGTTTTTTTGCATTTATCTGAATTTGTCCCTCACCAGGAAAGTGATACAAATACCCATCTCTATTTTAATATGACTTTTATTATTAATATTAAGCCTATGAAAGTAAAGATTATTCTTAACAAATATACAAACTGCTTCAAAATCATTCCTGGATCAAATTTATATTTTACCTAAAAATATAATATATGCCCATCAAAAAAAGTCATATATGGAACAGAAAACAGCAACAATATTTTGCAATATACATGAAAACTATTTAGTTTTCTCAGAAAGATACATACCTAACAGCCACAATAATTTCTTGTTGAGTGGCATCAGGTAAACTTGCTTGCTGAAGCAGTAAGGCACCTATATTGGTTAAAAGGTCTGATATCATACTCAGTTCTTCAATAAGCCAACATTTATTTTCAAAAAAATGTATGTGTCAAATTTTGTGTCAAACTAAAGAGGATCAATAAGTTTATTAAAACATACACAAAATGTTTTAACCCCACTGTTACATTTGAAAAATTTGACATTACAAGCAAAGGTGAAAAGAGTATAAGTATATTAAGCATGACTAATAATAGTTAACAAAAACAAAACTGTCATTTTTTGTTGAAAAAACAAAAAACAAGCATATGATTATTTGATAATGCCTTCTATAAGTTTCATATAATAGTACAACATCTTGTATAAAAGTTGTACTTCTTGACATTAGTGGATTTTGAGAAATTATCAGATTCAGTGAATTACTTTTCTGTGGACTTTCTGTCTCAACTGCTTCTGGTGAAACATTGTGATACTAATTTAAAATTTTGGTGACATTGCTATGAGTAATTAAAAATGCTTTCATAATTGGTTGACAAATCTGTGCTTGAGAGTGAGTTATCAAAACTGAAGGTATCTGATCCCCATATCTTTCAAATCAAATCTAATCTCTGCTGTCAGTGAAATATTCACAAACTTCAAGCTAACAATCATCTGAATAGCCAAACAAATGGCCATTTCATTAGATGAACCTGAGCAGTAAACCCATACATCTTGTCAAAACATTCTTCTCAAGACAAAGAGTGAACAGTAGCCATAACAACTTCAAATGTGTTATATTTTTGAAGAAGACACTAATGTTTCATAGCAAGAATAGGTTTGATTAAAATATATATTCATAATAAACATATAACATTTTATAAAATAAGCTAGGAATAGGTAGGGATGTAAGAAAATTTTCTCAAGATCCAGACTGTGAGGAGACCTGAAAAACAAGTGAAACTATCTAGAAAAAAAGGGGAGGAATTACATTAAAAATGAAAACAATAAAATAAGATTTAGGATTGATAAAAAAGAATAGTATCTCAATCAGTTTTTCATTTATAAAGTCAAAGTGTAATGAAAAAGCTTCCACTTCCACTCTTGCACGCCTCTTCAGGCTAACTGATATGTAGTAAGAAGAAAGTTATAAAAATTAATGTAGTAAATATGCATGGTTAATGTGTTTACAAAAGTTATTACTTTCCTACACTGAAAATATATTTCTGATAGGTACTTACCTCCTCTCACATGAATAGCTATTGTCATTCACTGCTCCCCTCTATATGCAAAATGTTTTTTTGCAAGCCACAAGCCTTGAAATTCCCACCTATCCCACAATTAATGTGGTTCACTGCATCTTCACATGTAAATCATCATGCAACAACCCTCTAACAATAAGAGTGTAACACACCCTCCTGACACATGTGACTCCCTCTATTCAATTCTATCTAACCATCACTTCAAGATTAGGCAGAAATTAAGCACTGGTTTTAAATGTGGAGAAAGGGTGAGAAGTTTGAGAGGAGGTAAATACCTATCACAAATATATTTTCAGTGTAGGAAAATAATAATTTCCAATATGGTACTATACATCTTCTCACATAATAGCTAGAATTCCACATTTAAGAGGTAGAGGGACAGGTGTTTGTTTGTTTTTAATTATGCACAAAGCTACACGAGGGCTATCTGTGCTCTGCCCACCACGGGTATCGAAACCCGGCCAGAGCTCGCGAATTTGAATCCTACGTTCAGTCCAGCACAGAGGTACCGAGGTTGGTACAGTCATCTGGATTTAAGGCCAGAAAGGGTCAGCTTTCAGAGAAGTTTGAGGGACTTTGCTGGCACTGTAACAAACCTGAGTGCAAGAGAGGTCAATGTTGGCAACTTCAACATAAGGGAGATGCCACAGCAGGAAAGGCAGAAGCTTTATGGTGTGACAGGACATTCTGCAAGGTTGTGGGGACCAGTGTGACTGTGGAAGTTAAGTGTATTGCAAAGTTGTATTGAGAAAGAATAAACTAGTTTTATTTAAGAAAGGACTTGTATCGCTGAAGTTTCTGGAAAAGAATTTCTAAGGAAATTAACAAACGAATAGAGATGTAACAATATATATTGTGAATCAACCAAGGTGGCCCCATTTATAAAGTATCAAAATAGATATATGGTATCCAGAAAGGTTGTTGGAACTGTGGAAAGCACGGACATTTGAGGAGCCAGTGTAGGAGGAATATTACCAACAAGTCAGCCTCAAGGAGACCAGTAGTGGTTGATGTTGAGCGACGCCCACCAACCCCATCATGAAAGTCCCAGCAGCTAGGTGTAAAATACCAAGCACACACAGTGTCTATGTGACAGGAAAGCTGGATGGCCAAAGGTGCAACTTTGTCATAGAATCTGCATCTCAGCAAACCCTTGTGAGCATCAAGGTGTTAGCTCACGAAGGAGTACCAGAAGCCATGCAGAAGCTTTATGGTGTGACAGGACATTCTGAAAGGTTGTGGGGACCAGTGTGACTGTGGAAGTTAAGTGTATTGCAAAGTTGTATTGAGAAAGAATAAACTAGTTTTATTTAAGAAAGGACTTGTATCGCTGAAGTTTCTGGGAAAGAATTTCTAAGGAAATTAACAAACGAATAGAGATGTAACAATATATATTGTGAATCAACCAAGGTGGCCCCATTTTTGGAAGTACATGCTTACGTGCACCTACTTCACTCTATGATGTGTGTATAACCAATCAAAAACTTAGAATGTCCCCCGTGTGGTTTTCTCAGCCCTTGCAAAATGTTTATATGGGAAAACCTTCTTTTGCATGGTAGAATCAAAATGGAAAGGTACGAGATAATGGAGCTTGAAATATCATATTTTTTTTAGACCCAAATACAGTTTAGTTACTAAGACTGATAAATTATAATGGAATTCTGTGGTATTGATATAGTAATTTATGATTTGCTGTTATTTCAAAATACATATATAAAACCTAAAAAAAAATTTTTATTTTTTATTACATTCTGATGTGAAATGGCCAAAATTTAAAGTATTTTTATTTAAAAATGTTATAGCAATTGATATGTTTCAAAATATATTTAACTTTCCTTTTATAGTTTTTTATGCACTATACGTCATTAATGTTATTGTTTCAGCATAGAATTTGATGCAAAAAGCAATATTTTATAAGACTTTATTGTAAAATAATTGAAAATTTGTCTTTTAAGTTCTAAATGCTCTTTATGTTATAAACTAAGTGTGGAGATAGCATAATTGACAAAATTATTATTAGATGAAGCAGTCATCTAAAAAAACAAAATGTGAGTATAATTCAAATTTGGCCCTCCAGTGGCACAGCGGTATGTCTGCGGACTTACAACGCTAGAATCCCATTGCATCCTGCATGGTAGAGGGGTGTGCTTG